GTCCCTTAAATGTCTTTAAACCTTAGTTTCTTCAAATATAAAATGGAGATAATAACACCTGCCTTATCTATAGCATACTGTTGGTGGGAGGAGCTAGTGAAATAATGAGTCTGAAATAATGGGTATGACTACCCACAGAGTGACAAACAATTTAACATTATTACTACAGATCTGGTGGCAGGTGGAGCAGGAAATCCTTTGTAGTTAGCAAAGTTGAGCCAGATAGTATTGGCTTCAGGGCTTTAGCACTACATCTGTTTAGTTTGCTAGTTGTTGTCATATCCATATCATAACTCCAAGGCTGCTTCTACTTAGGCCACAGAATCTAAGCCTGACCTCGCTCTCTCTCCACTTAATGTCCATCTACCGTGAAATCCTCTTATTTTCTCCAAGGTTCTCATTAACAGTAGTCTGGTTACCTTGTTTGTGTATCTCTCCCTGCTAAAACAGTGCAGATGTGGTAGAGAGCTTTCCTGACTCAGTACCATTTTTCTATCCCTAGGGTCCAGTATAATGCCTGACACAGGGGCAGTACTCTTCACATTGGTTGCATGAGTAAAGAAGTGAAGGGTTTTGAGGCTAAGACCCAATCGGCATAGGCCTAGAAGCCCTAGGAGGATTGCTAAGAATTGAGTGTAGTAGCTGTGACTTCATCTCTCTCTAGACATGTTCCTGAATCTCTCATTTCTTTGGTTATTGATAAATCAATTAAATGCATAGAAATTATAACTTAATTGAAAACTCTGGATCTTAGTTTGTGTTATAATCTCTTATATAGAATAAAGAATAAGAATCAGAATTCCAGTTTGTGTGTGTGTGTGTGTGTGTGTGTGTGTGTGTGTGTGTTGGTAAGTAACGGGCCATGAAATTGCATGCTGTTTCCAATTTGGCAGGCTGGTGGATTCAATCTCTGTAATGTAATCTTGTTCTTTGAACTACATGTGATTTGAATTAGATTTGCAACTTGTGAATTGGAAACAATTAATACCCAGCCCTTCCATACAACAAACTGATTTTTTTTTTTTTATACCAGGAATTGAACTCAGGGCCTCACATTTGTCAGGCAGGCACTGTGCCACTGAGGTATATGCCTGCTCCAAACTAACTTGTTTTTAAATTGGTTTTTCTCCCCCTATTGGCTGGCATCAATTCCCTTTTCAGAGTTTCTCTCTCATATACCATTACAATACTGTGTGTTTGGAAGTTTGATGAATATGGCAGGACTGTGCCTGGCATTTCTCCCTGACTTATGTGAAATGAATGTAAGTGGAGGGGCTTGTGGAGTGGCTCAGGGCAGTTGTGAGGCCCTTGCCTGTAAACCCAGGTGTCTCCTGTGTACCTCCATGCTGAGCCTTAGATTTGGTGATTCCTTGGCTCTCTGGAGGTGGTGGGGTACCCCTGCTTGGGACTCCCTTCACCAGGTGTACTGATAAGTCTCTGCTTCTCTTGCAGGGTAACCTGTCTGTGTGCTCAATTTGAAGCCGTCCTGCAGCATGGCTTGAAGAGGAGCCGAGGATTAGCACTCACAGCAGCAGCGATCAAACAGGCAGCAGGCTTTGCCAGCAAAACTGAGACAGGTACTTTTCTGCATTCTGGGGTCAGAGAAGCAAGCTTAGCTTCTCTCTTGCTCGTTTTGTTTTCTTTTCCTTTTTCTATTTTCTCTCCTTTCCTTTCCTTTCCTTTCCTTTCCTTTCCTTTCCTTCATCCTTTCCTTTTGCAAACCAGTCATTGTGTGGTCTGGGTTGTGTGACTTCAGAAATCCATGCCTTCTTTGTAGGTAAAAAAGTAATCATATCACCTAGCATTTTAATTTTTAATTTTATTAATTTATTTTGGCTGGCTCAGCCCGCCCTGGGGGTGGGGTGGGCCTGGCGTGTGGTGATGGGAATTGAACTGCAGTCCCCTGCGCCTGCCTAAGCTTGCCTAAGCAGGTGCTTTAGACTGTTAAGCTATCTCTCTGGCCCTGACATTTTAATTTAAGTAAAGTTATTCTTTGTGCTGATTTCTCAGAGCCACAGGTCACCCACTGCTCAGGGTTTGGCAGCTTGCAGCCAACATGCTTATTTCACCAAAGTGTCATGGAAATTTTCAGGAAAAAATGGGAATTACATGATGTTTTATGATTAAATGACTTCAACAGTAACAGATATCCCACAGGACTGTGAGCTTTGAGTTTTGCTGTTATTTTAATGTTGTACAAACATCCCTGAATGATAGGGATAATGCTGCTAATAATAACTACCTATGGTTGGTGCCTGTTGCAAACCTGGCCATTAATAGTCTTTGATTTAAGTTTACTTCTTCAGTTCTCAGGTCAACCTCTGGAGTAGTAAGGACCTTTGCTATCTCTGTAGCATGGATGGAGAAACTGTTATCAGTGATTTGCTCTGGATCTGAACCTGAGAGTGAATCATGTCATACAAAAAGGCCCTGTGGTCTCCTCCCACATTTCAAAGGGCAGGTTTTTTTCCTTATCATGCTGTGGCTGCTGCTCTGAATTCTTGAGTCTTTTTTTTGTCCTTGTGTTGCTGTTTGTTACTGCTGCAGAAACTGTTACCTTTTGCTAGTTCTTTCACAGCAAAAAGTCAGAGCTGGTGTGTTGGGTGGAGATGTCTGTGGAAATCCTAACTTAATTTTAGCTGTCTTCTCCCTTGGTTGCTGTATTTCCTTTCTCTTCACTCAGCCATTCA